TGTATATAACCCGTAAATATGTGCATTTTAATGGGCTATTTTTACGCATGCTTACAAAACAAATAGTGAGATCTACTTACCGGATTGTGGAAAATTCAACTACCTTTCTCCTTATCAGCTCAAACGAAATAGGATGAGTGCACTTTGCAATTAGAACAGAACGTGGCATTTATCCTCGGTCATCAAGGTTTAATGATCACCACCACTCATTTTTAAACATTTTAATCACAACTCTAATTGTGCAATGTAGATTAACGTGTGGTTAATTTGCCAAGCTTTCTGTCTGTGCGTGAGGGAGAAAGAGGGAACTAAGACATGTAGAAAGTGTGATTGTGAGTAGAAAGAATAATTGGCAACAAAAGACTAAGATCGTCTCCCTTCTTTAAGAGAGTTAAAACCTTTTAAATTCCTTTTAAAGACGCCTAATCAGTTGATTTATATGGCTTCTTCAATTTCGTGCTTATCTGCAGACACAGAAAATCTGCAAAACTACACATTTGAGACCATTCAATCTCACGTCCACTCTGAGTTGCTTTCTGACGCCGCTGAGATTTGAGCCCAAAAGACTCTGCAGCAGCTTCGTGCTCAGCCAGCCTTTGTCGAATGCCACGAATTGGCTTTCCAACACCAAAGTGACCACATGAACATACTATTTGGCAACAGCCTGATCTGGATAATGAGGAAACTTACTCTCTAAAAGAAGACATAAATGAAAAAAGTATCGTAGTTTCCTTGAAAACCGTTCTTATACACGACTTACATACCATTTCGGCTGTTCTTTTAAAGAGAACGGAGAAAGAGCAAAGTGTGTACATGAGAACAGGTCTCCGTTTTTTCAATGTTGGCTAAAAGTTGGCTAAAAGTTGGCTATAAGTCGATCAAAAGTGGACGGTCAATCCATAAACAAATCCTGCCTAACCACGATGGGTCCGCTAGGACCAAGCTCAAACGCGGGCATCAATCAGCAAGAGCGTAGAGAGTAAGTCTCGCCGTAGAAAGGACCATAGTGGTACATACAATTTCTGTATCCACTTTTCTTCGTGTGGTGTTCAAGTGTGAAGTTAACCTAAAACAAGAGGAAAAAAAGGTCGGATGGTGCCTCTTAAGCCCGCCTGCATCGGCCACGAAGTGGATGGGATAAATCAGCTTATAATGTCGACTGTGACCTGGCCATCTTGTTGCTTTGAGTAGCGCAGGAATTGATTTTCTCAAAAAATCCCGTCTCGTTGGCATGACAGCCGGACAAAAATCCCAGGCCCTTCCAATCGGGGCATGAGAAGAGCAGTTGAACAAGGATGCTAAGAGGGTAGGGGGGCTGAAAACACACCCGTTTGGCCGCCACCCGAGACGACTTGTGATGAAGTGAGAGTTCCGATAGAGACCGAGGGAGGCAGAAGAGCGAGATTAACATTGCGCAGCCAAACGGGGCTTAAGGGCCTCAGAACTGATGCACACCCAAACGGCCAACAAAGGTTGTCCACTTCAACTGAACAAAAATGGGCATCAACCGTGGAACGGCTGTCCCAGATCCGTAAACGCAAGGTGACAAGGATGCTAGTAAAATACCAAAGAACTGTTGAGATGGCCGACTACGCTAGAGGCAAAACACAAAAGGAGATGACATGAAGTGAGGAAATAAACAGGACCCACCTGACCAAGAGCGAAAAAGGGCGGTAACCGCGTTTTTCCACACAACATTCATGGGAGGATAGCTGAAAAGAGGCAAATGAACAAATTCATGAGTTGTGCAGTCTCAAAAACCGACTCATTCACGAAAAAATGAACAAAAATACTACTTAGCAATCAAGTTTCTACAAGAAGTAGGCTAACTTTTGTAAGAGTTCAATATGAAACTGGATGTAGAAAGTATACATTTATTTATAGCGTAAAGTAAAAGTTATAAAATAGCAAGTTAGAGGTTATCACATCCAGTTGATAAATTATTAAGGGCTCCATATTTGGCAAGAGGGGCTATAATAAATGCAGAATCCTTGCAGTGGCGTTAAATGACAAATAAATTCACAGACATGACCCTCAAAAGGAACTTAAGAGTCGTATTTCCGAGTCCCAGCTATTAAATATGGACATCTAATGAACAGTGCAAAGGGTGAATACTGGTTGATGCAAGTAATGTGAAGGAGTGACAATTCTAAATGTCCCTCAGGGTGGATGAGAATACAACTCTAGCCCGGATAGCTAAAATCAGGCATCCTCCTCGAATACGGCATATCGACTGGCACGAGTAGAGCCAAATCTATCATCATCTCCTCATCACCACTCGAGGGTGAGAGTGTTGGAGTTCGAGCTAAGTTAGAAAAAGAAGGGTTTTTAATATGTCAAAGAACATTACAACTATTATTCTTGTTATTACTATTAATAATGTTATTACTATCCGTATATTATTGTATTATATGCCATATTAAAAATATATAAAAATACATTATAGTATATTATATTACTGTTATTACTAGTACATCTGTTGCTTGGCGCAAGTTACTACTGGAATGAAGTTTCGCAGGTTAACATAGTTGAACATTGATGAAAGTAAGGATAGTGAATGCTTCTTACGTTTCGAAGGCAGGAATGATGGGTCTTGGAACATTTGCTGACGAAGTGAATAGGGCCAAGAATTTCTGTGTTAAAGAAAAAAAATCAAGAGTGGTTTAATGAAATCTTCAGAAGGATCCACCAATTGCTGACAAAGTAGTGCATATAAGAAAGCGATAAAAGTCAAACTTGAGTTAAATTTACCGTCTATAAGAGTTTAGAAGAACTCAAAGCATAAGTTTCAAAAATACA